ATGAAATCATGTTAAAACAATGTAGCAACATAGCAAACCTTAACTGAGCTTACCCGACTCCACCAATGTTAAACCCTCTGAGCACACACTCACTAACATAAAGCATAATATTGTGTCTTATATGTATATAATGTATATGTACTGAGTTTTTACACATTTCAAATTATTATTGCTATTGTTGATCATATTTTCCTTTTTGAGCAGGGTTTCCTGTGTTTTTCTAGGGACAAATATTGGGGTCCTGACCCTTGGGTTAGGATCTTGGCTATGAAGGATGAAAGCAAGTGCTTCATGAAGAACCTCTTTGTGCGATATCAAAACCAACCAAACTGTCACCGTTGGCAGTTGTTTGGACGTTGGTGCGGTGGGAACTTGTTTGTCTGGTCTATTTGTTTGTTGTGATGGGGGGAAACCCTCCCACTCAATTGGCCTTGGGATCCAGAGTAGCTGGAGGACAGGTCATACAAAGGCGCAGTGTGATGGGGTCATCACTGTCACCGCCCAGAGTTGGGGGATGTGCCAACTTTGTAACTGACGGCTTCGTATGGTTGCCATGTCCTGCTCTCCTCAAGTCACCATGCCCTGAAACCATCCACCGAAAGCCCTCAACAACATGTTTACGAACCAAAACTGGGAGGATAGGCTATAGGGATGAAAAAGACTACTTCTAAAGGCTGGAGATTATAAAAGAAACAATCATCCAGCATCACAGGACCACCTTTGCTTTAGTTCTTGTTTTTGAGTGTATGTGAGAAGCTGGGCTGGTGAGAAACACTGTGGATTTACATAGCAGTCTGCGACTTCAAACGAGGTGGCTGACATTTGAATGGGCTGGTGGTGGGAGCCTCTGGTGGGGTTTTTGTTGCCATGTAGGGTGAGCCAAGGAAAGTGGGCACGCACACTGCTGGGATTTGTGTGTAGACAGCTTGTCCTGTTTACTGGGCCCACAGGTTACCATAGGAGCTCTGCACGAACTGAGTGAGTGAGAGACAAAGAAAGAGTGTGAGAGAGAAAAGGGAGACCAGGAGATGGAAGTATAAAGGGGGTACACCATGTAGAGTTAGATGGGTACAGAGTCACTGGGTACATTGCTAAGAGAGGATGGAACAGCTCTGATGAGTAATACACTAATAATAGGGGAGTGGAGATCGGGTACATGGACCTGGATGCCCTTTTGTAAGCAAGCACACATCATTTCAAGCTCTCCGACTCTGTTCATGACTATGGTAGTTTACAAATGTGAACCCAGTAGTACTTTGCTGTTTATTAGCTTCATGTGAATGCGCAAGTCTGTGCTTTTTGCATCGTCTCTCCTCTATATGAAAGATGATCTGTGAAATTCTGCTACGCAGTTCAGCTACATTCTAGTTTCTCATGCCTCTCTGTAGACTCTCATCTACAGCTGCAACCTTATGCATGCCCATAGTGATAAAACACTTTATATGTAGAGCAAAATGTGTAGTCTGCTGTCTGATGTGTTTAACACTATTGTTTTGACCAGAAACTGAGGTCCTACTTCACTGTGCTCTGTGTGCCAGTGTGTCACACATAACAACTGATATGCCATGCCTCTACATCACTGTTTCCCAACCTGGGGCTGTTTTTTCTAACTGTCAGAAAATAATTTTTTACTATTCTGACTTTTGCTTTTTATCCCCCTGTGAAATACTGGATTCTTTCACTTCTTCAAGTCTGTAAAATTCCTTCAAACAAACAAATTGGACGAATCACTTTTTGGTTGAACTGCTCAAAAATCATCTCTAAACTAAGGCTCTAACCAGTAATGAAGTACGAAGTAGATATCGCTTAATTTCAAGAGGTCACAAGCCAAAATGCTGGTATGTTTCCCAGCCAACAGACAGAATCCAGTGCATTTGTTGCACTTGATGTCCTTCACTCTGTAATTAGTTGATCTGAACATGTCACGTTGATGCAGAACAATGATTATCAAAGATTATAAAATACGCCCGGACAGCTGTGGCTAAACTTCTGACCACATCCAACCATAACAGTGTCAACCTCACGGGGAATAAATGTTAGTTCAGCACACAGGGAACCAAAGGGAAAAACCCTTTGCTCCTGACAAGGAACACCTGTCTGAGTGAGTGTGTACTCTGGAATGAGTGTAAGCCTCTGGGACAGAGGGAGGGAAGCATGTGAGTGCGTGTGTGCATGTGTCTGTCTGTGTACATAATCTGCGCAAAGACCTAGTCAGGGTCATACATTAGCCTAACGTAAACGTAAATTACAGATGTAACTTTCCATTGTATTGTAGGCTTGGGTGAGGATTCAGACTGCATACACACACTAATCCACTTTCGCCCACAGAGATCCAACACTTCTCTCTCCCCTCCCACAGCTTTCCCTTTCCCTGCCTGGCTGCTCTGCTGCCTGGCTGACGAGCCGTGCTGCCCGGCTTGGTGGTGGTTGTCCTGTCTATCAGTCTATTTCCAGGCTCAGGGCCCAGTGCCGAGGCAGGCAGTCAGTCAGGCGGTGTGGTGGAGGGCAGAGGGGTTGATGCGTGTGTCAGAGAGGCGCTCTCCCACATTCCCCCGGCGGCTGGCAGCAGGCCGGGCCTGCAGAGGGGGGTTCGCCTCTTTCTCACGACCTCTCAGGTTCCTGCGCTCATCTGGGAGCTATTCATTTCCTGCCAGAAAACAGCCTTCCCCTGCAACTTCAGGAGGAGGCGGGTGCAAGGGGATGGGGGGGGGGTTTGGCTTCAAAATGAGTCCAGGGCTTGGTACAGCAAGCCCTGGGCTTAAATCATAAAGCTCTCGCTTGTCTGGGCTGCAATCAAAGACAGCCCCAGTGACAGGCCAAGAGAGAGAGGGAGAGAGAGAAACAGGAACCATGAGAGAGAGAGGGAGAGAGTGGACCATATGGTAGCACTTAGGGAGCCAAGGAGGAAGCAGAGGGGCTTTTTTCCCCTCCTTTCGCTCTCTGCATGCACACGGAGTGTGGGAAAAGTTAATGGACACGCATGGAAGCTAACCCCCCGGTCGTGTTGTGACATGTGTGCGGTCACTCCAGCAGCTCGGCCACTGCACTGGGTAATTGGAGAGGCTCGTAAAACTGTTCTCCAGAGGGGAAGAGACCACTGAAGATGTTAGGGGGGTGGGGGGACTCAGCAGCTGGGTGTTGTCCGGGTCACACCACGTGCCTCCCAGACGTCCCGTGTCTAGCTGTGGCCCTGGGGCTTGGGGCAGGAAGCCCGACACTGGTCCGAGCACAGCTGGAATGCTGTGGGAACGTTTTGTGTATGTGACTGCGTGCGTTTGTGTGGAGAGGTTCTGCTCACAGGAGGCCGACTGTTATCCTGTGTGGTAGGCCTTTCCTTGAACTCCCCCGCCACCACTACTTAACTCCCCACTACCTCACCCAGTGTGCCCTTTGGCCAGGCATGTCCTCACCCAGCACCCTCCACAAACACACACACAGGACGTATGCACGCACAGACACGAGCACACACATGGCTTCGATCAAACAGGGATGCATGGCCCACTGTAAAAAGGTGTGATGGAGATTCAAAATGATGGCACTTATCCACACTTTGTGCCTCTTAGCGCACTGATAATTGCAAACACCTGCAGCCCCTCCCCACACACACCCCCTTCAAAGAAGGGCCACACTCGTATAGCTTGAGGGGGCACTCACACCTGGGTAGAGCAGAGCGCTACCACATGGCTCAGTGGTGAGGTGTTTAACGTGTCCTTCTGCTGTCAACCCCCCCTCCCCCTGGCATCAAGGAACTCCCTCAGCTCTGATTGAAGACCCAGCCCGAGGCTCCTCTCTGCTCCATACTGTCAGGAGATTAATGCTATTGGGGATGTTAAAGGTGACAGAACAGCGGAAATTCTCACAATGATGATTTCTTAGTCTTTTTTTAACTTGATCACTTCAAATTGTTGGTTGGTTGTTAGTTTAGTAATCTCCTAATTAGAAACACTGGAGTGGAAAGGGCCGCTGCATTTCCACTGATGAGTGGTCGTTTAGCTTTATGTCATAATAAAATAGGTTCAAAACATGCAGGCCAACAAAATATTCAAGTGAAATATGTTTGGTTCAAATCCTGTCATTGGCTGGTATGACAAGCTAATTCAATCACAGATTAACTCTCCAACGAAATGATCCTGTGTCTTTACTTAATAACAACAACAACAAAAATACTACTACTACTACTACTAATAATAAATAACAATCTGAGTATTTCCTATTTCCATAACCATCTCTTAAATTAAACAGAGGCTGTGCACTTGTTCATCTATCGACATCGACATCGACAGCAGCTATTCACGCACCACTGATTGATCTTACAAATATCAATGAAATTGCAATGCCCTTCTGCGCTGCTAGATGGCGCAAGTGACCTCTGTAACGCTCCAAAGTTTCAGGAAAGGTGGAACTGCTGGACTACCCGCTCAAGAAACGGCACTAGATAGTCTAGCTCCTGTGTCTGATTGATTGCAGAGCCACTGTCTCCTGCCTGACTCACTTATTTAGATAATAGAAGTACAATTAGCCAACAAGTCTGACGGCTACAGTGACTTACAGTGAGTGAGCATGTACAGTGTTTTTGCTGGCACGTAGCAGGATGCATGCCTCTTAATGAATAGCACACTCAATTTTGCAGATAACAGCTGCACAATGTTATTACTGATGCTTTTGGCTCAAAATAGTTTTTAAACATTTCCTATCCATCTTCTCTGACCCTTTTTACATTCAAACTTTACATATATACAAACACTTGTTGACCTCATGTTTAAGTAGCCCTCTCAGGAAGTCATTTTCACATAACAAATATTATCACCGTATTGGAAAAGCCTATGGTAGCTCACTAAATGTGTGCCACCACTCAGTTTAACAGGCATAGTCAACATAATACAGTTTAAGCACGAAATTAACTACATTAACAGGAGGAAAGTCCTAAATGTTTGCAATTTTAAGCACTAATGAGAAGATCAGCTTTAGTTTTTCCAACAAAAAACGCAGGAACAAGCACGTTTTTTTGTTTTTAAATCTTTACAAATTTATTTGTCTTCCAAAACGAAGAACATCATAAGCGCATTGAACATATCTTTGGCATCACACAGTAAAAAAAGACAACTCAAACCTATAAAAAATGCAGTGAACGAACTTCCACAATACAGATCTCATTTCAATATGAACTTTACTCCCTTGTTGGCTGTACAAATATAGTGCATACTCTTTCCATTTTACAAGAAAAAACAGATTCAAAACAACTTTCTAACATTGAACAAAGAGAGAACTATTAAGTGTCATTTTAAAGTCTTTATGGTCCTTTTTTCACTTTTCACCAGGGTCGCCACACTGAGTCTGTGTTGCCTGACGGGGCTCCGGGGGAAACCGCAGCCGGTACAGGGACCGGCGTGCTGACGTTATTGGCGTACACGGGGATAACTGGGCCGTTCGGCGCAAATGCCGCATTGGGTATGAGGAAGGCAAACTGTCCGTCTGTTGCAGGCACGATCTGGAAACCACCGTACACTTTGGTGGCGTCTGAAGGTATACTAGCCGGCGATGAGCCTCCTTTGCAGGACACCGCGTTCATGGGCAGGACCTGCGGGGATGAGCTGGGGATCTGCACCATGGACTGGCCGAAGGAGGGGTGGGTTGGTCCGGCGGTGGGTGGGAGCTGGTGTTGGTGCTGATGCTGGCTGGGGTAGTTCATAGCGTTGATCTGGGTCATGCAGTTAGCCAAGTGGCCAAGGAGCCGCGTCCTGACCTCAGTATTGACACCTTCACAGGTGGACAGGAAACGGGTGACCTCATTCATGCACTCGCTGAAACCAGCACGATATTTTCCCAAGACAGTGGGGTCGGTGTTCAGGGCAGCTGCAGAGAAAACATATATGTAATTTAAGTCAAGACATTCACTTGTTTTATCTGTAAAATTAGTTGAATCTGTAAAATGTAGACGCGCATCTTGAAGCAGGATGGCTAGACCCGCTCGATATGTTCTAAAACGCACAAATCAGTTCGGGAAATTCGACTTACCAGTCATCTGAACCCTCTGGAGGTTCCGGAGATGCTTCACCGTCATCTCCAGGATGTCCGCCTTCTCCAGTTTAGAGTGTCTGGAGCTCTGAGGGGACGGAAAACACACATGTTTAGGATTACGCGCTCACTTTCTCACTGTTTGACAGGGGCAGTTTTGAAATCTATTAATAACCAGGACGCTAAGTGAGTACTTACATCTTTTTTGAGCGCATCCAGGATGAGGGTTTTCAGCTGCCCCAAGCTCTCGTTGATTCTGGCTCTTCTCCTCTTTTCCATAATTGGCTTGGATGACTATAGATAAAAAAGAAAATTACATCAACTGTTAAATTTGTCTTTCTTGTTTCGTGGGTAAACGTGAAAATCCTCGCTTTTGGGTGAGGAGCTTGTGCAAAATTGTGTCCAAAATGAAATGTTTCAGGCGTTTTGTTGCTAGATGACACTGACGGGGAAATTACTTTTCAAAAATGGCTTTATACCGACCTTTCTGTGCTCAGAGGCTGTCTTGGGTTTATCGGGAGTTGTGTTCATGCTTGCCGGGGTGGCAGCGACCGGAGAGGAGGAGGTTTTTTCCATCATATCGGCAGGCATCTTATTTTTAAATCGGAAATATCCCACAAAGCCACAGCAAATTACGATCCACTGGTGTAGGAAATGAATACTTTCAGGTTGTGATATTCAAACGTCCCCTCTGCCTCAAAAAAAAAATCCTGAGATATGTATCAAGTTAAAATCCGTTAGAGCGATGCGCAGCGGCAGCGGCTACCACGAGCGGATGCGAGTCTCTCTGTTGGGCTCTCCGCGTGTGGCTTGTATTTATATCTCGCACTGCACGCGAACGGCTCGTGTGAAACTTCCCAAACTTTCTTTCCCACAGTAACTTTCCACCAATCAGGGCGAGGGACACGCGGCCCGAAGGAGGACGGCTCGTGGTCGGCGCCCTCCCATTGGTTGTTTGGCCGCTTGAGCTGGCGGCCAATGGCGCGAGGCCCGGGTTCAGGGCACAGCCGGGGAAACTGCCTTCAGTCTTCAATCATCATACCGTTTACATATTAACAGTGGAGCCGCTGACTGGGCACCGCCACCAGGAGCGGGCAGAGGACTTTTTATCTACCAATCAAGAGATAACAGCAGAAAATATAATAACATTATCATAAAGAAAATGTAAAAAGTAGACATGCTCCAGATCTAGCTACATGTCACAGCCTACTATTATAGCCTACTGCTATTACTAATAATAATGCATGTTTCCCACCCTCTACTCAGATATCAGCAGCACCCATAGTAACCACAAAAAAACAACTCTTATTCATCCTTGAGCCATTCCACTTTGGTTCTAATTCTTGTAGGGTAAAGATTGTGCAAAATGTAGGTGTCTAATATTAATTGTTAACTGCGTGGAGTAGCGTAAATGAAAAGAAAGAAAGTGAAACTTTTGAACCGTTTAAAAACCACCAGTGGGAAGTGGTGGGCTACACTATCTGGCAATCAGAGTTTCAGTCTTGTACCATGGCTGCAGGAGGGAGCGGTTTTGTTTTGTTTTCTACCAGACTTCACAGTCGATAGTTAGGCTGTAACGCCATTAGTAAAATAAACAACTTCAGATCACTCATAACCACAGGAGGAGACAATCTCAAATGCTCTGACACACACACCGCCTTAAAACAATCATTATATTCCTAGAGCAACGTTCATTTTGTCTGCCCTCAGAGGAGGAAATTAAATGCGCACACTCCATTTCCATGTTATTTACTACTGTAGTTCCCAACTCTGTGGTACAAATTTTGGCATTTAATCATCTGCCGGTGCTGCGAATGTGGAGCACGCGCCAGGATGTTTTATGAGTGCGGTGGTTGGAGGTTTGGCCGTCGGGCTGCCGGAGGGCCGCCGGGCCAGGGAGGAGGCTGGAGGGTTGAGGGGAGGGTATGGCGGCGGTGGTTTACATTAGAGGGGAAGGTAAATAGCAGCTGCTGTTTTAAAAGCCTGGGAAAACCACGCCTACAGAGAGAGAGCTGGATCGGGCTCCCTTATCGGAATGTGAGCCAGAGCAGAGATATTTCTGAGCCCGGAGAGCTCACACGATCAGACCGATGCCTCCTCCTCCTTCTCCTCCTCCTTCTCCTCCCCGCCTGTGGTCGCCCCACAGCGTTCAAGGCTTTTTTAGATTTCAGGTCATAATTTCATTTCCTTATCTTTATTACAGTTGGAGAGACGCAAGAGCAGACAAGCAGTAAAGAGAGAAAGGAACAGGGCCCATAATTACGTCTTAGAAGTTTACTGACGGACGGCACCTCTTTTTCAGGTTGTTTGTGATCACGGTGACCGTGTTTAAGAGTCTAGTGGGTAGACTACAAAGTTTGAAGAGTCTGAGGTGATAATCGCATTGCTTCCTCTCTTACCCCCGTGTTCTCTTTACCCGACAGAATATTATAATTTCCGAAAAGACAGTGACTTGCTACAAGGACAAGACTGGAGTCTGTAACTAACTCTATCATTAACTAGTATTTATCTGATCCCATCATTGTTTGTTCATGAGAAACAGCAGAAACGTTTACTTTCCCCCGGTGGAAGTATTATTTTCTAGCAACTGTTCCGAATAAAAGTATGAAAACAAGAACATGAACCTTGTTCATGACACATTTTGTGTCAGTGTGAGGAGAGGTGAAAAGTAATGAAAATAGGCTACCTATGTTAAGCGACCCGTTCATTAGGCTACTTTAATTTTTTGAGTATATGTAGCGCGAGGCATGGCTCTCCGCTGGGCTCGCACACCTCCAGCTGCTGCTGAGACCGCGACACGTGGCGCGCAGGCGACCAGGGGAACGCGCTCCTCTCGCCGGCTTGCCGCCTGGATCTGCGGGGCGTCGCCGGCGGCTGGCCGCAAGATGAATTTGATAGGCACTGCGGAGCTGCACATGGCTCCAGATCCTAAGCTGAACACGAGAGAGGCGCAGAGATGGTTTTAGGTTCTCTCCCAGCCTGCACTCAAGCGTGCAGCGGTAAATTACAATGTCTAAAAACTATATGACATCACCGCCAGCAGCATGTAGACAGGGATGGATTATATGAGAAGGCTAAAGCTTATGCTTTTTATGTCACTTCAAACATTTTATTCTCATGTGGCCACGCCACTTTAGAGCTAAGTTGATTTCATGTCACCCAGACTTTAGTAGGCCTAGGCTATAAAGAGAAAAAGGCTAGTTAACATTAGGTCTAGACTCTACCAGCTGCTGTGTCAGGATGAGTAACTGGGATGTGGAGACATGAGTGAAAACCACACACGTGTTTTGTGTGTAATTGCAAACTTTGCTTTTGGCAGGATAAGAGGCTGGTCTGTGCATGCGCCTAAACCAGCTTGAATATCCTTCACGCACAACAATGCTGCCTCTGTCAAACACGTCACTAACATGTCTCATTGTTGTGAACTGCACACCTGAGTCATTTTCCAAGCACAATACCACTGACAGAGTTCCAAAACAAATGCATTGAGGTGAAGCAGACAGAGCGAGGGTTTTGAAACGCTCTCCGCCTGAATGACTTTCTCACGCTCATGTTGCAAGAGGTCTCTGACTGTGAACTGAGTCTCGGAGCCTTGGGTCTCTCGGTCCCTCCCTATTCACTGCGAGCTGAACACCTTATTGGGCGCACCTGGCCGCCGTCGGTCCCCGGAGTGTTACCTGTTGCTATGTCTCAACTCCTCTATTGCAAGAAATCTGTGGGAAACAGGCTGACTTACAGCGAACACAGCTCTGTTGTAAAAGCTTTTGATCACATGATGTTTAGAGATACCTTACTTATGAAAAGCCAATGACAATGGTCTGGCCAGTAGACAGGAAAACAAACAAGCATGATTATTTTACATTTGTTATTTGGGACACCCCGCCCAAACTCTCCAAATTCTCACACTCTTTTTTTTACCTGTGCCCCCCTCCCCTGTCCCTGCCCCTATTATCAACCCTTGATCTTATCCTCTCCATTTTTATCTTTTTTTTTATATTGCCCCTCTTCACCTCCCTCCCCCCTTTATCTCCCTCTTCCTCTTTTCTCAATCCACCACTCCCAGTCTTTCCCAGGACTCATATCTTTATTGAGCCCTCTCAACCATGGACCTCTCCACACTGCAATAATGCAGCAATAATGCTATTAGACAGGGAGATTGTGGGGCTGAAGTGTGTGTGAAAGTGTGAGATACTGCGCTCACAAAACAATCTGGCCCACTGTCACCCACTGCTCATGCTTAATGTGTAAGCCATTGGTGAACAGTGCTGAACCGGCGCTCCTGGTGCCACAAAGGTGACAAGGATGCGTGTATGTGTGTGTTGAAACGTAAATGCCACCATAGGCATTTAAGCTTCATTACTGGCTGGCAAGAAGAGTGGGAAGTAAGGAGACAGGCTGTATCAAGGCCATTACTTGAGGTGTCACGTGGCTGCCGCTGTCAAACTGAGGGTGGCACTGTGTTGTGGCACAGCCTTTCTTTCCCAGGAGACTGCGACACAGTGGTTGACTGACTTGCCTTATCCAACAGTTCACACTGTGATTAGCATGGTCAACAAGTCACCAGAAAACCTTTCATTTCCTACAGAGCTGAGTGGCCAGTGTGTGCACAGTCGCTGCTTGTCAACAGCCAATGAACTTTGTAGCTCTGCCTGGAAACTGCAAACTAGAAAAGAAGCCCATTACAAACAGTCAAAGATGCTCAGTTCTCTACAACTTTTCTTGAAATGCTGCAGAAGTAAAGATGCTGGCGAATGGTTGCATGTGTTGCTATATATTTTTTAACATGAATTGGTCCAGCTGGAAGGTACATTATTGACTTTAAAAACATCCGTTTGACAGGGTAATCTTACTAGCTTTTCCCAGAGATTTTAACCCCATCTCACAGTCTTCTTCAACAGATGGCGTTTGCTCAGTTGCCACTGGGTTGGCCCTGTTGTTATCCGATGACCTAAGTATGGAACTTTGGTCGCATGATAACAGGTGGTCAAATATGGAGGGAGACTGAAATATCAGCTGAGGAAGACTGGGAGATGTGATTTACATGGAAAAAGCCAGTGAGTGGATCTTGAGTTAAATGTTTTTATCAAACTACTCTGTGTGGTTGTTTTAATCTGCTCAAATACACTGTTTTGATCATGGAGTCTCCGTATTATGTGTGTCCTTTGTTGTATCGTCACGCACACAAGGATGCACATGGATAAAACCTGCACAGGTGTGATATGATACGTATTCCTGCTGACTGCAGGGGGCAGTAAGTGTTATAGGTGGTAATGCTCTCCAAAAAGGAAAAAAAAGCACGGTGCCAGTGAAAGAAGAGAACAAGAAGCAATGTAAATGTATAAACAATTCAGATTTCAAATCATTCAATAACAGGTTTTGCAAATTCAGATAGGAAATGCATTAAAGGTAGGCCTTGATGAATACAAAATGGGTTTGGTGAGAAACACTCAACATAATGAAAATATGTTTGTTTGCTTGAAAACTACATAGGGTACCTTAGCCTATTCATCTTAAAAATCATAAAACCTTTAAATCTTCAAAACGATGTGACATTCTGATAAAGATTTATCAAACAGGCAAAATACATCTGCCCACATTTGCCTATGAAAAACAATAAACTGTATCTATAAGAAACCACTATATGCGTTCAGAGGCTCTGGCACCACCCACAATCAGGCAGAATAGGGTGACCCATCACCCAAGTTGAGCGCAGGGTTACAGCAAACCGAGGTGTTGTGTGAAAGCGATAAGCTCTGACAACTTACAGAAAGCGCTGAATGATAGCAGAGCCAGTCGT